GGACTGCATGTTGAGTGCGGTTGGTCAGCCAGTTACAAATCAATCTGTGATACTGTCTAAACAGGGATTAAATCCACTTACCTTTGCTACAGGTTCAGTAGCAATGTGAGCACACGAATTCCAGTATTGCATAATCACTTACCCCCAAGGTTCCTGTAGCTTCAGCACCTTCTATTATTTCATCTCCGTTAGTAAGAATTAAGTCCAATATGGCTGATCCCCTTCTTCCCGGGGTGAAATCCAGCAGGTTCTGACAGGTTCTGGAGAACTGGTAGTGCAAATTTTGAGTAGTTTGGAAAACCAGCAAATGCCAGCTCCGTCTGGTTCCAGAGTGGGGTGGAAATGGAGATTTTGCAGTATCCTTCCCCTACCACACTTACTAAGCCACACCCACCATGCCATGCCACGCCCACCAAGCCGCACCCACAAAACCAGTAATAAAAAATGAATTTCGCCACTGTCTTATTCCCTTCTCTACTCTTTGGAAAACAAAGTTGTCTGCTAGGTTTGCTAGGAACCTGTTGGATCTTCCACGGTGCAGAGTTTATCTCCCAGTTGATGTCAGGGTAGTTAAAATCCCGCATTACAATTATGATGTACTTCCTACATACCTTAGTTAGCTGACTAGCAAAAAGTTCATCTATTTCCTCTGTTTGGTTGGGTGGCCTATAGCAGCGATGGTGAGTCTTTTTTGGCTCGCGTGCCAAAAGCGGGGGGAGCGCAGGGGGGGTTGTGTGCAGGCATGCCACACCCATAATGCTATACACATGACCCCAGTGTGCATGCACGCACAACCAGCACTCCCCCCATTTTTGGCAGGCTTTTTTTGCCCTCCCCAGGCTCTAGAAGCTTTATAGTTTGCTCGTAGGGTTGTTTTTTGCTCCCTGGAGCCTTCAGGGAAGCCTCTGGAAGGCTGCTGAACACTCCGGAGGGCTAAAACCGACCCTACAAGCAAACCGGAAGTGACTTCCGGTTTGCTCATAGGGTTGTTTTTTGCCCTCCGGAGCCTTCAGGGAAGCCTTCTAAAGGCTCAGGAGGGCTAAAACCGATGCTATAAGCAAACCGGAAGTACATTCCTGAACTTCCGGTTTGACCTTAGGACCGTTTTTTCGCGCTCCAGAGGCTTCAAGGAAGCCTGCAAAAAATGGTCTCAAAAGAAGGCTGAAGTGCGCGCGTTGGCCAGCTGACAGGTCAATGCCTCACATGGCCTGACAAATGGTTCGGCATGCCACCTGTGGCACGCGTGCCATAGGTTCGCCATCACGGGCCTATAGTATACATCTATTGCAATGTCATTCACCCACCCTTTAATATTGTCCCATTCAAGATAATGGGTCACCTAAAACAGGGTGAGCTCTTGCTCTCACCCCAGCTCCTGCCAACCTAGCAGTTCAAAACCGTGTAAATGCAAGTAGATAAATAGGTACCACTTCGGTGGGAAAGTAACAGTGGTATCCGATGTCATGCTGGCCATGTTACTGTGGAAATATCTACAGACAGCGCTGGCCCAATGGCCTTAAAATGGAGGTGAATACGGCCCCCTACAGTTGGCAATGATTAGCAGAGTAAAATCCTCAGGGATTCCTTTTCCTTTACCTTACCTCCAGAACTGGACACAGTGCAGGTAATCCTTGACTTAACAATAGTTCGTTTAGTGACTTTCAAAGTTACAACAGCACTGAAAAAAGTGACTTATGAACACTTTGCACACTATGACCGTCGCAGCATCTCTAGGGTCATATGATTTAGATTTGGATGCTTGACAGCTGGTTCCTATTTACGACGGTTGCAGTATTATGGGGTCATATGATCACCTTTTGTGACCTCCTGTCAAGCAAAGGGGAAGCCAGTTTCACTTTACAACCAGGTTACTAACTTAACAGCTGCAGTGATTCACTTAAGAACTGTGGCAAGAGAAGTCGTGAAATCGGGCAAAACTCACTTAACAAATTTCTCACCAAGCAACATAAATTTTGGGGCTTAATTGTGGCCATAAGTCGAGGACTACCTGTGTTCCAAATGGGGTCTGATAAAGCCCTATATAGTGGGATTAAGGCCATCTAGTTTAACATAACCTGCTGGTGCATTGGCACTTGAGTGGACACTCTGCTGAAAATTTGACCAGGAATACCTTATGATTCTTGACGAAAATATCTTGTCTCTTTATGTATACTGAGAGCATTTACACCAAAGACAAATTCCTTATGTGTCCAATCACACTTGGCCAATAAACTATTCTATTTTATTCTCTTCTATTCTATTCTAATTTTCTATTCTATTCTATTCTATTTCTCTATTCTATTCTAATTATTCTATTCTATTCTAATTATTCTATTCTATTCTAATTATTCTATTCTATTCTATTCTATGCCTGGCCCAATTACTAAGCCAAGTAGTGACCTCTAAATGTGTGAAATGTCAACAATGAAACTGTGCAAAATCTGACCTGGGCTTTCAAGCTTGAATTCAGGACCCTGAACAGAGTCAAAGCAAACAGCATTTTGCTAAATGCAAACCCATGCAAAAGCCCTTGGCTGCAAGAGAGTCGCCAAGCCAAGAAGGAAAGCAGGAGGATTAACATTGTGCAGGGATGACACAATCAGATTCTTCAGGATCAACTCAGGAATTGGTGACGCAACACCGAGGAAAAATTCAGCGAATCTAAAGGCAGCTTGTCCGGAGAAAGGGAAGTTAGTCACCTCTTCCTGCTTAAGCATGAAGCCTGAATTAAGGGCACTTTCGATGATCGTTGTGCGTGGGTAGATCTGAGAGTTTAGCAGCGGGTGAATAATTGGGCACACTCTCCCTGCAATATTGCCATTGCTGTACACCCATGTGCCAGAGATTTCAGCACAGTTGCGGAGCAAAAGTCCAACAATGATCTCCAGTTTTCATTGAAAGGCAAAGAGCAGCAGCTGCTGCCATTTCCTGTCCTGCTGTAAATTATTTCATAATTGCCCTACTATTGACCTAAGAGTCATGGTGGCGCAGTGGTTAGAATGCAGTATTGCAGGCTAATTCTGCTGACTACCAGGAGTTCGATTCTGTCCGGTTCAAGGTTGACTCAATCTTCCATCCATCCGACGTTGGTAAAATGAGGAGCCAGATTGCTGGGGGCAGTATGCTGACTCTGTAAACCGCTTAGAGAGGGCTGTAAGGCACTGGGAAGCAATGTATGAGTCTAAAGGCTATTGCTATTCATTCTGGTCACATGCAATTATTTGCAATGATCCTGTGAGGTAGGTTAGGCTAAGAGAGGGCAATTGATCCAAAGTTCTCCAGGGAGCTTCTGTGGCTGGAGGGTGATTAGAAACTGGGTCTCCCCACTCCTCAACCAACATTTAACCTAGAAACCTAGATAGATCTGCAGGACTATGGTCCTCTGAATACTTTTTCTATATGTTCCAAGAGCTTTTTTCTTAGTTCATTTGTAGATTATGCCATAAATTTCAAAATGAGAACTCCACACTTTTGATGTGTTCCCACATTGCACTCTAACATACTTTGCCTAATCATGGTTTGATTCAATTCCTGGTTCCCAATAGGTCAAACCAGTTTTGCAAACTGATCAATTTTAAGAAGAATGATTTTCAAGTCCCAGAATTCCCCAGCCAGCACACTGCTGAGGAATTCTGGGAGTTGAAGTCCATTCACTTAAAATTGATAAGCTTTTTGAAATCTGGTCTAAACTACAGGCCTACAATGATTGTTGCTAAAGAAGTTGCGAAACAAAATCAATCCCATTGCTGTGATGGATAGGTCACTCCCTTCTTTATTAATTTATCAGTTTTATAGAGCCTCTCATAAAACAAGTGATTCTTTTTCCTAGGAACTGAGATAGCTGTGATGTCATAACCTGTAGCTCATCCAAACAATTTCCACCCACCCTCTATGACTTCAATGGAAAAAAATGCACGGTTATCATTCATAAAAACAGCCACACATAAAAACACATTCATAAAAACAGTCACAGTGCTTTTGACAAGGGGGCGGGGGGGGGGATTGTAGATTATACAGATTGCGGGAAACATCTCTCAGTTTTGATATTGTATCTGAGTGCTGCCCCCTTGTGGACCAGTTGCACAACAACTGGCTCATGATCTTCAATCTGTAGACAGTCATTCAAATAAATTTTCTCTGTGCTGAAGACTTCCAGATGGATGGGCCGTTCATTCCCATAAAATCCCGCAAGCGAAATTAGCTATGAATTTTGGGGGAGCAAGGGTTTTTTGGGTGCTGTTGTTAGTTGCAAAGTTGTGTCTGACCCATCGTGATCCCATGGACAACAGTCCTCCAGGCCTTCCTGTCCCCTACCATCCTTTGGATTCCATTTAAACTGATGCCTACTGCTTCAGTGACTCCATCCAGCCACCTCTTTCTCTGTCATCCCCTTCTGTTCCCCTCAATCGTTCCCAGCATTAGGCTCTTCTCCAGTGAGTCCTTCTGTCTCATTCAGTGGCCAAAGTACTTGAGTTTCATCTTCAGGATCTTCTAAAGAGCAGTCAGGGTTGATCTCCTCTAGGACTGACCGGTTTGATTGTCTTGCAGTCCAAGGGACTCGCAGGAGTCTTCTCCAGCACCAGAGTTCAAAGGCCTCAATTTTTGGTGCTCAGCCTTTCATATGGTCCAACTTCCACAGCCATACATTGCAACTGGGAAAACCATAGCCTTGACTATATCCACTTTGGTTGGCAGGGTGATGTCTCTGCATTTTAGTATGCTGCCTAGATTTGCCATAGCCTTCTTCACCAGGAGCAAGCGTCTTTTAATTTCTTAGCTGCAGTCCCCATCTGCGGTGGTCTTGGAGCTTTTTGGGTAACCAACCACAATAAGATGAATCAATATGGAAACTGAATCTTGCTGTGTTTAAGCCTGAATTTCCAACCTACTGGGGGCGAGTAGGAACATTAGTAAATGTTTGACTATCTTGTGGTCATTCACCCCAAATAACTGCAATGTCGAGAGTGCATTAAAGTATCTAAGTCACTTGATCTCCTTACCCCAATCACAACAGCCTTCAGGATACCCATGACGAGTTGCCAGCTTTTTCTAGCATATTTACAAAATGCTGCATTGTATTAACTGAGAAAAGAACTAACAATCCACCAACTGATGGTGTAATTGACAGTTGGAAGCAAAAGAACTTCACTTGCTTGGTGTAACCGTTTATACAAGGAGAGGTGAGATTGCAAATTTTGACTTCCTTTTCTCTTGTTGGGGCATCTCTGTGAGCGAAGGAGCAAAGCAATGAGCAGTAAAAAAAAAAAAAAGTAGAAATGGAGACCAGGGGGGGGAAAACACCTGGTGGTCTCTCATCCAAGTCCTAAACAAACAGGAATCATCTTAGCATCCGAGCCCAGTCAAAGTTATGAAGAGACTCTAGGAAAACAGCAGTCCTCCTCCATCCTGGATGTTTAAAGATGCGGACTACACCACCCATAATTCCCAGGCAGACTGGTTTTCTTAGCTGAGGCTAATGGGACTTTAATTCCAAGACATCTGGAGGAGACTGAATTGTGAACAGCGAGAGGAATAGGTGAGAAGCACGATTTGTGATTCCTGACATTTAGTGCTAAAAAAAATACTGCATGGAAAATTCACTACTCGAACGTCCTTGGCAATTTGGAGTCTCTATGTACCCCGTTTCCCCGAAAATAAGACCTGGTCTTATTTTCTTTTGCACCCAAAATACGCACTAGGGTTTATATTCAGGGGATGTCTTACTTTTTCCCCATATACAGGAAGCCCACTTCTGCTTACTTGCTGGTGGGCAGGCCATGTGGTACACTATGCCGCTACCACGAGGCAGGGGTTGGAGCTGCCTCACATGCCCCGCACCAGCTTATCTCAGGACCCCTGCAGCCAGGCTACCCATGCCCCCCACCTTGCAGAGGTGGCTCCAGCAGCCCCATCCAGCAAGCCCCTGTGTGTCCACCGGATGACTTCTTCTGTTTACTTGCGGCCACAATGGAACAGGAGGCCGAGCAGCACACAAGTGCTATAACTAAAAGGCTAGGCAGGGGGTGGAGCTGTGTCACGCGCCACACATTGGCTTATCTCAGAGCTCCGCAGCCATGCCTCACCTTGCGGCCATAGTACCAACACTGGCACACATACCTCCTGCTCCATTGCGGCTGCGGCAGCGTGGACTCCTGCTGCAGATGGCTGTTGGTGCTGCCACTGCGCGGCAGGTGTTGGTGCATGGATGGCCTGGCTGCGGAAGTAAGTCGGTGCGAGGTGCATGAGTTGGCTCCACACACACACACAACTCGTGGCCACAGCACCGCAAACAACCAGATGGAATGGGCGGGTGGGCGGCTGCACAGGCTCTCAAGGGGGGCTTATTTTGTGGGGTAAGGTTTATATTATGTGCACACGTAAAAACATGGTAGGTCTTATTTTCAGGATAGGTCTTATTTTGAGGGAAACGTGTAAATGCCCCTCAGATCTTTCAAAGTGGCTGGTATTACAAATGGATAAAACTTACAGGAGCCAGTTTGCTCAATACACAGGCAAGAGTCGTAGCCAGGAAAGCGAGGTGGAAAACCTTGAGCCAATCATTCTCTTTCAGCCCAAGTCACCTTCAGGGTTATTGTTGTGGGGAAATAAGAGGAAGATGTGTTGGGTATGTTCACCATCTGAGTTATAAAGTAAGATTACAATAAATAAATGGAATTCTTCTATCTGCTGTGGAAGACAAAACCCAATGAACTAAAATTAATTTTAAGGATAAAAGTAGTGGTTAGACCATAAGTGGTTTACCATAAAGTTTACCATAAAGTCGGGGGGTTTTGCACTATAAATCTCAAGTGGCTTTTTCAGACTCTAAAAGATTAACAGAGTTGGAAGGGACCTTATAGGTCATCTAGTCCAATCCCCCGCTCAAGCAGGAGATCTTACACCATTTCTGACAAATGGCAGTCCAATCTCTTCTTGAAAGCTTCCAGTGATGAAGCCCCAACTTCTGAAAGCCCACTGTTCCATTGGCTGATTGTTCTCACTGTCAGAAAGTTCCTCATTTCTAGGTTGAAGCTCTCCTTGGTCAATTTCCATCCATTATTCCTTGTCTGGCCTTCAGGTACCTTGGGGATTAGCTTGACCCGCTCCCCTCTGTGCAGCCCCTCAAATATTGGAACACTGCTATCATGTCTCCCCTGGTCCTTTTCTTCACTAGAGTGGCCATGCCCAATTCCTGTAAAAGTTTTCATATGTTTTAGTCTCCAGTCCCTTAATCATCCTGGTTGCTCTCCTCTGCACTTTTTCTAGAGTCTCAACATCCTTTTTTATAGTGACCAAAACTGGATGCAGTATTCTAGGTGTGGTCTTACTAGGGCTTTATAGAGTGGTATTAGCACCTCACTTGAGCTTGATTGTATCCCTCTATTAATGCAATTTAGGATTGCATTGGCTTTTTTGGCTGCTGTTGCACACTGCTGGCTCATATTTAGCTGGTTGTCCACTAAGCTAAGACTCTAAGATCTCTCTCACAGTCACTGCTATTAAACTCACCCAGTTTATATATATATTTCTTACCTAAGTATAGGACTTTACTTTTCTCTACAATTTTATTTTGTTAAGATATGTCTCTGTCTTTGCATTATTCAATTATTAAGACTTGTTCAAGTTTTCAAAATGAAAAGTTCCTCCTTTAAACAGGCTGTTAAGTCCAAATTAATAACCAGGACACAAATGCAGCCAACTTTCAATTTAATGGGCTGATGGGAAGCAGAGTGGTGTCCATTAAAGCGGAATGTCCATTAAACACAAATGGGACTTTATGTGTGTGTACAAGCAGCAGATGGGATTTTACACACAGGCAAACACATTTTGAGCAGAAACAGATTTTGTCTGTCACCTGTGTCTGTTAAATGACAAGTCTGATGTCTGTTAAACTAAGTATTTACTGTACAGGAAAACAAGAAGAGTTAAAGAATACACAAATAGCCATCAATACATTTGTTGTCTTCTGGAACGGAGAAAGTCCAAGGTTTCCACATTTTCATCTAAAATGGTTTATTCCCAAGCTGGATGCCAGCCCCAACCATTAACCCTTAACAATATTTAAAATCCTCCTCCTTTTCTCAAAAGCTTAATGAAAATTGGCAATTTCCAGGTGTGTTGGATTTCAGCTCCCATAACCGAAGGAACAATTTAATTATTGTCCATTGGAGAAGGGAATTCAGGAAACAGTCATTTCCCGTGGAGAATGGAGGGCACTGGAAATTTAACAACTGCAGGAGGGGGTGCCTAAATTAGAAGGTGAAAAAATGTCATATATAGTCCTCCACTTATGGCAGTTCAAAGTTGTGACGGACCTGAAAAAAGCAACTTACTACCCCGTTTTGAAATTCTGACATCTGCTTGCTTTCCCTTCCACCTCGCAGTTCCCACTTCAGGCACATTATAAGTCACTTGCCGTGACTATGATTGGGGAGAGGAAAATCAGTATTTAACTTCTGTTACCTGGCAAAAAACGCCCTATAGAGAACAATAGATTTATTTAATGAAAGCAGGGGGGGGGGAGGGTGTAACATCGGAACTGGTTACCTGATGGCCTGCTTTTGAGCCATCAGGACTTAAGACCGAAATTGCAGGGCTCAATGACGGTCGTAATTCAAGAACCACCTGTAGTGCATAGTAAAGATGGCAACCAGACCTGATTCTTTCCTCTGCCCATTGATTAGGGCAATGTTTCTTAACCTTGGCAGTTGAAGACCATGTGGACTTCAACTCCCAGAATTCCCCACCTGACAAACTGGTCTTCTAAACCCGCTAGTGATTGTTCTGACCGAGGCTTCCCAAGAGCATGAAGCAAATTCCTGGTCCCCACAAAAAACCTTTTTATTAATTTACTCTGAATTCTGCTCATTCACATCTAGCAAAGCCTTTCAAGGGAGGATTTACAGTCACAGACCTTATCTGGCTTGGAGAGCTGCCGGGCCGATATCTGCAAAACCTGGCAAGGAGTCTAAGAAAGTCACAAACCAAGTGAGCGAACTAAATGTCTCCTGCAAACTCCCCTCCCCTTTCGCTCCTCTTTTATTCCCTCCAGGAGGGGCCATTCATCATCCACCTTGGCCTTACTCTCAAATCGACCCCTGTTCTTTAGCTGTTCCCTTTGTCTGGCAACTCTGCACATGCGGAGGAACTGGGAACAGGCTCCAGCTGTTCATCTGCCCCACTGATATCTGACTCTGAAGGCAGCTGATAACTGGCATACGGCTCTGGCCCCCCCTCTGCCTCCGACACAGAGCCCTCATCAGAGCCTTCCCCAGACTCCAGGACTGGCCCATGCTCCTCCCCAACCTCCTCACTGTCCGAATCTGCTACCAGCCCCACTGGCCACTGGGGGGGGGGGGGCACAACAGTGATATCCTGGTGTCGTACAACTGAAATATTGCTGTGAAATTACCAATGTGATGCTGGAATTCTGACTTTCAAGCAACAGCCAATTTCATCCCTTATGCTTCCAAGGGTTTGTAGGAAGATACAGGTAGTCCTTGACTTACGAGCACAATGGAGCCCAAAATTCCTGTTGCTAAATGAAACATTTGTTAAGTCAATTTTGCCCATTATATGACCTACCTTGCCCCAGTTGTTAAGTGAATCACTGCATCTAAGAGCTATAATGGGTACAGAAAGGTAGTCTCAACTTACAACATTTCATTTAGTGACCGATTGAAGTTACAACAGCACTGAAAACAGACTTGCGGCCGTTTTTTCATACAATCCTTGCAGCATCCCCATGGTCACGTGATCAAAATTCGGACGCTTGGCAATTGACTCTTATTTATGACGGCTGCAGTGTCCCTTTTGCGACCCCCTGACAAGCAATGTCGATGGGGAAGCCAGATTTGCTTAACAACCGTGTTACTCACTTAATGATTGCAGTGATTCGCTTAACAACTGTGTCAAAAAAAAAAGATCGTAAAGCTAACTTAACAAATGTCTTGCTTAGCAACAGAAATCTGGAGCAAAATGGTGGTTCGCAAGTCGAGGACTACCTGTACAATGTTGCCCTACTCACCCTCTCTGTAGCTCTACGCAACTCTGCACAAACATTCTGATCACACAATGTTGAAATCCTGCAGGGCAAGGCAGAAAGTCTTCCTCCATGCAATCCTGGGCATTTCCAGGACGAAGTCAATAAAAGTTCTAATAGAGTAACATGCGCCGCTTAGAATAGAATAGAATAGAATAGAATTTTATTATTTGTATGCCGCCCTTCTCCGGGAGGACTCAGGACGGCGAACAATTCAAGGGGGGAAAAGGGGAACATAAAAAACAAAATACAAATAATAAAAGTAAACAACAGTCGCACAACCATACAAGTCGAGAGGGGAGGGAACTCATCACCCCCAGGCCTGCCGGCAAAGCCAGGTTTTGACGGCTTTTCGGAAGGCCTGAAGAGAAGTGAGGGTCCGAATCCCTGCGGGGAGTTCATTCCAGAGGGCCGGAGCTGCCACAGAGAAGGCAGGTGGCATTGGCTGGTAGATGGCACCCGGAGGAGGCCAACCCTGTGAGATCTAATGGGTCTGTGGGAGGTAATTGGCAGCAGGCGGTCTCTCAAGTTGGATGACAGAGACAATGGTGTTGTCTATTTGCGTAACGAAAACATCTGCAAGCAAATAACCAAGCTCAGAGAGCACCAAGGACTCTGCAGTCAAGAAAAGTCCCCCCTGAAGTCCCACCTCCAAAAAATGTAGGCAACACCAGGGATGATCGATGATCCACTCCCTTCTCACAGGGAGCCTAACCCTCTCCAGAAGGACAGTCAAAGACGGTGACGCAAGTTTAGCTCGCCTCACAATTGTGCAGCATGGCTTCCCCCCAACTCTCCATTTTATTCGGGCAACTCAGCAACGCCTAGGCCAGTGACGACTAATCTTTTTGTCGTCATGTGCTGAAAATACGTGCACAATGCCGCCTCCCGTGCGGCCTGCCCCCTGCGTATGTGCGCCTGATCCTCCCCCCTGCGCCATCCCACCCCACCCCCATGTGCAACCCCCCCCCCATGCCCCATTTTGGGCCTAGTAGGCCTCCCTGCAGCCTCCTGGGAGCAAAAAGGAGCCATGAGGGAAGGCACACACACCCCACCTTGTTTTGGGCCTAGTAGGCCTCCCTGCAGCCTCTTGGCACCAAAAACAGCTGTGAGGGGGCTCACCACACACCCCCACACGGTCCCCCGCCACCCATGCGCATATGTCTCCTGCAGATGCTCTGCCCTCCTCCCCCACATGTGTGGCAGAGACCCAAAAATCAGCTGGCTGGCAGGGGCGCGCACGCATGCACGATGGAGCTGAGCTGAGGCGACAGCTCACATGCCCATAGAGAGGGCATCTCCTAGAGTGATGGGAGTTCTAGTCCTATGCACCCGGAAGGCACCAGCTTGTGGGAGATGGGTATAATAAACCGGTGTAATAAAGCAGAAGATGCATTTGGAGTCCATATCAGCAAACATCAAGTCTTATGTAAGCATATGCTGACGTTTCTGTAAGCACCACCAGATAATTTCTGAAACATTTCATCTCAGTCAGTTGTCCTCCCACCTTTGATGAAGCAGCCAAATAAAGGCAATCATCCAGTCCCCTTGATTTCCACTCCTTTAGCCATCCACCCATTTCATGTTCTTCTATCGCCATGGCAACCCACCAAGTACAATGACATGGCCAAGTTTTTTTGTTTTTTTTAATCCTCCTCTTTCCACAACCCAAAAAGGATTTATTTGTTGTTGTTTTGAAATCTCCACTGTTCTAGTTAACTGGATACCAAGGCAACATTCTTTTCTTATCTACCAGCTGGCCAAAATGACCCTATTCTGGCCACAGGATACAACTCTCCTCCGTGTAACTGATGGGTCAACAACATTCTTCGTTTTCAATGTCACTTCAAAAACCAAATTACACCCCACCCACCCCCACCCACCTTGGCAATCAACACACCCTTCTCCTGGCGGCTAATTTACCCCAGCCAAATCAGGGGACTCAAATTTTGTAACTGAGACAATCGATCTTTTTGCTTTGGAGTGCAATCCTGTCGTGCTAAAACTCCGCGGAGATTCTCAGTCATGGTTGTCCCAATGGTGCTTTTTTCAGGAGGCCACTGGACTTTCTTGGGTTTTTTTTTCCTTCTTTTTTGAAGAGGTTTTGCTTCCTATCCAAGGAGCTTCTTCATCTCTGACTGGATAGTGGGGAATGGAAGGATTTATATTCCTTGCAGACTGCAGGACATCTACCTTCTTTTAGAGGATCGTTGAAGGAAAAGGATGCAGAGTGTAAATCCTTCCGTTCCCCAGCATCCTCTCAGAGCTGAAGAAGGTTTTTGGATGAGAAGAGAAACATCTTCAGAAAGAAAAGAAAAAACAAGAAAGCCCAGTTGCCTCCTAAAAAAGCACCTTTGGGATGTCCTATGGGGCCCTTCTGATAATCCCCAATATTGAATTATCTTTAATAAGCAAAAAAACTCCACCAGTTATTTAACTCTCGTCATTCTCAACTACAAAATACTTCTCAGCCAAGAAGCTGCTTCTACCCTCCATCAGCCTTTTTGACGTAGTCCATCAGCTCTCACAAGGAGTTATTTCACCATTGGACCCCCTTAGGTAACCCTATCAACCAAGGTGTTCTCCGCTATCCATCCAATCCTCCTCTTCCAACAGGCTCAACTCCATTTGGATTCTCTGCCCTTCGACCAGCTTTCTTTTTATTCTATCCCCCATTGCCATCCCATAATCCTCATGGAACGGGGGTCCATCTGGGGAGGGGGCGCCAGGGACAGCACAGACGACGCAAGGGATGGCGTCGGTGACGTGGGCCTCCTCTGAGGGGAGAGAAGTGGCTCTGTGTCCTCATCGCCCGGCAGGCAGGCGAATGGTGTCCAAATGCCTCGGGGACGAGGTTTGTCCCCAGGGAAAGGCGCTGGGTCCCCATGGACCTGTTGGTGACGGATGAGAGTCGAGGATCGGCCGAAGCTCTTACCACAGCGAACGCAGCGGTAAGGCCGAGCCCCCGTGTGAGCTCGCTGGTGCACCGTGAGGTAGGAGCTGTCCCCATAACGCTTGCCGCACACGTTGCACTTAAAAGGTTTCTCCCCGGAATGGATCATCTGGTGGCGAATGAGGTGGGAACTTTCTGAGAAGGATTTGTCACACTGGCTGCAGCGGTACAGCTTGATCCCGGCGTGTGTGCGCTCGTGGCGCACCAAGTCCGACCGCTGAGAAAAGCTCTTGGTGCAGGATTGGCACCCGAACGGTCTCTCCCCCGTGTGCACCCGCTGGTGCCGGATCAGGTGGGAACTCAGAGTAAACCGCTTCCCGCAATCGGGGCAGTCAAAGAATCGGGGGGAGGCGGTACCCGCACAGCGGTAGCCAGGGCGACAGTGTTGGTTACCCCAAGAACATCTCCCTCTGGAGGTTTTTTCCCTTTTGGATCTGGCTTTCCTGTCCCCATCCTGGATACTCCTGCTTTGTAGAGCCTCACACGCCTCCTCCCAGGCCAGGACTTGAGGGGGGACCTTGAGGTCCTGGCCTTCATGGACAACTGGAGATCCTTCCTCTTTCTCCTCCTCTTCCTTTTCTTCTTCCCAGTCATCATTCTCCATGGTCATTCCATCCTCTAGCAAAAAGATTATAAAGATTATAAAGGAATAAATATGAATATGTAGGGTTTTTTTAAAAAATAGTGTTTATATTTTCAGTTACTGAGAGAGAGAGATGGATGGGCTCTAAACTTGACGACCTATAAACAAATGATTCAATAAATGTCTTGAACTCCATTTTACGTTCCTACTATGAGCTGTGGTGGTGCAATGGTTAGAGTGCAGTACTGCAGGCTACTTCTGCTGACTGCCGGTTGCCTGCAATTTGGCAGTTCAAATCTCACCAGGCTCAAGGTTGACTCAGCCTTCCATCCTTCCAAAGTCAGTAAAATGAGGAGCCAAATTATTGGGGCCAATATGCTGACTTCTAAACCACTTACAGAGGGCTGTACAGCACAGTGAAGAGGTATATAAAGGTAGAGGTTACCCTTGCACATATGTGCTAGTTGTTCCCGACTCTAGGGGGCAGTGCTCATCTCCGTTTCAAAGCCAAAGAGCCAGTGCTATCCGTGGTCATGTGGCTGGCATGACTAAACACCAAAGGCACACGGAACGCTGTTACCTTCTCACCAAAGGTGGTCACTATTTTTCTATTTGTATTTTTATGTGCTTTCGAATTGCTAGGTTGACAGAAACTGGGACAAGTAACAGGAGCTCAATCCGTTACACGGCACTAGGGATTCAAACCACCAAATGCTGACCTTTCTGATCGACAAGCTCAGCATCTTAGCCACTGAGTCACCGCGTCCCATATAAGTCTAAGTGCTATTGCTATTGCTACTGCATTGAATAGCACGTCCTGTAGATATCATCCCTCCGTCCATTCATTTCAGGGTTTTGCTGTCCCCTCACCTGTGTGGGCATCTTGCCTGATTTCCTTTTCTTCTGGTTCTTGGCCAAGGTTTTCATTCACAGCCTGTAGTTCTTCCCTTTGCTCCAACAAAGAAATCATGCTGGCTCTTCCTCCAGGAAATCCTGCCCAAGGCAGAGAAAAAAATAGGCTGTGAAATCTGTTCATCTCCCTGTTCCATTGATTTTTCCTCTCCACAAGCATCTCTACTGGGCATCTCTGAGATGTAGGAATGGATGGACCATCATCCAACCCGGGGTAACAATAGTGGCAAGAGTGGAAGATAAAGACTACAGACACCAAATTCAAAATCCTCCGTTATCAAGGTTTACCTCCAAGCTCATAAAAGATAAATATATTCCTTGGCTGTCAAGCCACCTCTGACCAGCATAGAAAATTTGCTTCCATTCTCAAAGTTGAATTTAGAGCAAACTTTCTGCTTTCCGCTTCATAAAAAGTTTATATTTTATTTCTTATTTTACTTTCATCAGGGATTCCTTCTTTTACTTCATCCTTTCAACAAACCCTGAAAGTGAGCTGGGATTGAATATGTACTCAACTTGCAACAGTTCATTTAGTAAACTGCTCAAAGTTACAACGGCACTGAAAAATTTGCCTTGCGGTCATTTTTCACACTTACGACCGTTGCGGCATCCTCGTGGCCACGGGATCAAAATTCTCATGTTTGGCAACAAGTTCATTGCAGCATCCCAGGAGGGGGTGCGATCCTCATTCGCGATCCTCATTTGCGACTTTCTGACGAGCAAAGTGAACGGGGGAGCCAGGTTCACTGAACAACTATGTTACTAATTGCACAACTGCCCTGAATTCACTTAACTGTGGCAAGTCACAAAATGGAGTGAATGAACAAATTTAGAATAGAATAGAATAGAACAGAATAGAAATAGAACAGAATAACAGAGTTGGAAGGGACCTTGGAGGTCTTCCAGTCCAACCCTGCTTTGGTAGGAAACCCTATACCACTTCAAACAAATGATTATCCAATCTCTTCTTAAAGACTTCCAGTGTTGGAGCATTCACAACTTCTGGAGGAAAGTTGTTCTAGTGACTAATTTTTAACTGTCAGAAAATTTCTCCTCAGTTCTAAGTTGCTTCTCTCCTTGATTAGTTTCCACCCATTGCTTCTTGTTCTACCCTCAGGTGCCTTAGAGAATAGTTTGACTCCCCCTTCTTTGTGGCAGCCCCTGAGATATTGGAACACTGCTATCATGTCTCCCCCCCAGTCCTTCTTTTTATCAGAATAGATATACATACCAAGTTCCTGCAACCGTTCTTCATATGTTTTATTCCCCATTTCTCCCTTAGCAACATAAATCCAGGGCAGAATTGTGGTCGTAAGTATATACCATTTCAGACAAGCGAATATCCAGTCTCTTCTTAAAGAGGGAGAGCAAAGGAGGGGGGGTAGGAAAAAAGAGGAGGGAGAAGAGAGAGAAAGGGGAAAGAGGGGGAGGGGAGGGAGAGGGGAGGGAGAGGGGGAAGGGAGATATCTCCCCATTTGCAACCTACCTTCCCAGATGCCACTCATTCACCCACCCCAATTTTCCAGCTAATGCCCAAACTCTATCCATCCCAGCTTCTGCAGGGCAGTTTTGCTAGAAAAAGCCAACAATACTCACGCATAAAAAAAATCTTTCTTTGCAATGCTGGGTGGGTGGCTGGAATCCAGGTCTTCTGTCCGCCCAGCCCGCTTTTTTCTTGGGCAGGGGGCTCTGGGGAGGTGGGACTCTCAGAGACCCTCCCCCTTTCTCAACTCCCCACCCCTCAGCTACTGGAAAAGCACGTAAGCCTCACTGCCTTCTATGTGCCCATTTGCGCATGCGCACGTTCCAAATTACCCCCCCCTCACTCCCTTTGACAGGAAGTTCCCATCCCAATTCAATGTCCCTCCAAGCTTCGTCGGCTTCCTTCTTTCTGTCTAGGAAGTGGAGGAGACTCCAGCTCTATTATTTTAACTCTTCCTTCTGACCCAGAGTGGCTTTTTTGCATCTGATGGTTTGGGTCAGACAGGATCCCTGACAGCGGGGGATGCATTACAGCCCCAGTTTTTGCGAGAAAAGAATGCGAGAGAGAGGGGGGCAGGGAGGGAGAGAGATGAGAGAGAGAAAGAGATGAGAGAGAGAATATAAGGTTTAAGGGTGTCCTTTTGAGCAGGGGGGTTGGACTAGAAGACTTCCAATGTCCCTCCCAATTCTGTTATCAAATCCTGCTTGCAGAATTTCCACAGTGCTCATTCCAGTTTTGGGAAGAATCTGTTTCATTGAGGATTTGGACTCTTGCAGTTATAGATGCATCCTATGTGGCTTTGGAACAACACTTGAGCCAGGGTTCACACAACCTGCTCAACCAAAACAACACTTTGCCTTACCCAAATCTTAATTTGAAGCTACTGTATGTGGTGTGCCTGAAAAGGTTTGTGCTTGGTTGGTACCCTGCCTATGACACTTACTTAATTGCTATTCATAGAATAGAATTCTTTATTGGCCAAGTGTGATTGGACAAACAAGGAATTTGTCTTTGCTCTCAGTGTACATAAAAGATATAAATGATAAATCATGATCATAGTCATCATAAATACATTCATCATGAATCATAAGATACAACACTTAGTGATAGTCATAGGATACTAGATAAGTAATCAAAATTATACCAGGAAACTAATTAACACAATATAAATCGTAAAGATACAAGCAACAAGGTTCTAGTTCATAAGTAGAAAAGGAGATAGGATTAGGAGGGATGAGAAGAAGAATAGTAATACAGCCTTACTAATTAATTTGACAGTGTTGTGGGAATTAGTTGTTTAGCAGAGTGATGGCATGCGGGAGAAAAACTGTTCTGGTTGCAATGCTCTATAACGGCATTTTGAGGACAGAAGTTGAAACAATTTATCCCAGGATGTGAGGAGTCGGTAGATATTTTCACAGCCCTCTTTTTGACTCGCGCTATTCATTCCTAGTAAAAGGCTGTAACTTAAAAGTAAGTTTTCCTTCGAGTTGAACTCAAGTTTCCAGGAATCCCATAGAGCAGCAGTCACCAACTGGTCAAAAATTTTTGGTGACCTGCAGATTATTTGTATTTTTATATTGCACTAAATACTACAGTATTTATCTTTTTAAAAAAAATCATATTAGTGGTCCATGGGATTTAAAATTATGAATTTAGTGGTCCCTGAGGTCCGAAAGGTTGGTGACCCCTGCCATAGATCAGTGTTTCTCAACCTTGCCAACTTTAAGTTATGTGGACTTCAACTCCCAGAATTCCTCAGCCAGCCATTATTTAAAGTAATAACATCTTAAACTTGCCCTGGTTGAGAGGCACTGGCCTAAATCAGCCATCAGCAGCGAGGGTCCTTCAGTTCCATTCATGATAGAGAACATTTTCCACTATTCCTTTGGAAGACTTATCAACCGGTTTAGATGATGGTGCACATACAGAGGGCATCAAGCTGGTAAAAAATTATCTTGATCTCTCTGTAGCTTTACATTTGAAGAAGATCTTCTTGATAGCATTTGTCCAGCCAAGCCCATGTCTTTGTGGAAGACTATTTAAAAAGTAATGTCCTTTCTGCAGGAGCATCATGTCTATTTAAAAAAACTGTTTTCCTTTGCCAAAAATGTTCCGAATACATATATCCTTGTTCCCTTCTTACTTGGTTTTTCACAATAATTAAAGGCATCTTCTCTCCAATTGCTTCCTTAAAGATAGACCTTTAGGTCGCAATAAGTGGTTAGGGAGCAAGTTAGTTAGGTTAGACTTATAGCAAGCAAGTTAAATTAATTAGTGTATAGAGAATTGTGGATTATTATTATTTTTTCCTGGAGTGCTCAGGCTAAGACAAAATGACTGGTCCAAATCCTCCTTAAATTTCATGGCTGAGTGAAAATTTGAACAACACGTCAGCAGTTTTCCAATCTCAGCTTAACATTCTCAATTGAGATATGACCCACTATGTAGAAAACAGTGTCTGTGTAACTGTAACACTGATGGTCAGAACTACTTTATTTTCCAGAGTCATGTCTGACAGGTTTCCAGAAAGATTAATATTGACCAGCCTTACTCCATGTGGATGCAGTAGTAAACCATCGATTTCTCACAATGCTGCAGGAGTATTGTAATACTTCTGTAGTACTAATGTAGTATAGTACTGTACCAGATCCAGGGCATTATGGGAAATCAAGACACATGTCAGCAACAGCCTCTGCCTTCTTTTATCTTCCAGGCCTATTGGTTACTCTGGAGCAGGATGTAGATATGGCTGTCAGTAAGGCAGAAGCATAGCTGTTTCTACTACTATTGCATAGAGCTGTGGGCTGCTCCCTCTTTGTCATTTAATGAACGGATCACCTGAGAACTTTCAATTTTAGTATGCTTTGAATCTTTCCTACCTGACCAAGAAATACCTTGCCCAGGATTATCTGATGAGGCCCTGGAAGATTAAGACAAGATAGCTGTTTACCAATTATATGAATGCAGCAAGGTAGAAGGGAGATTAGTAATCAATTGAATTAGTGATCAATTGAATTAGAAATCTGTGCCATTAATAATACCCAGGTTTCAAAATTTGGTAATCAATCTTCAAAGGTACCAATTCTCCTGGGCTTTTTGACAGTTTCGGAAGTTATCAGTATGTCTATCTCCATGGTGGCAAACCTATGGCACACGTGTCGCAGGTGGTACATGGAACCCTCTCTGCAAGCACGCGAGCCGTTCGCCCCAGCTCAGCACTACTGTGCATGCATGCGCACCTCCCACTGGTCAGCTGGTTTTCAGGTCTCTGCCCAGCATGCATGGGAGGAGGCGTGCATGTGGGAGTTGCGTGCGCATACGTCAGGGGTGGAGTGCATGCGAGGGTGCACATACATGCACGGGGGTCATGCGTGCATGCGCAGTGGGTGGGGCACATGGGTGGGTCACATGCGCATGTGAAGTGGCAAAGCGCACACAGATGGGCAATGCACATGCTTGGGGCAGGGCGCATGTGTAGAGGGTCAGGCGCATATGCACGGGGGCATGGTACACATGGGGGTGCATGCACACATGGGGGAGAAACTGGGGGGATGCACATGCATTGCATTATG